AATATTGCATTAGAATGGCATTTAGTTCTGAATAGCTTATTTTATGTACCCAATTATTCCTAAGATGTGTAATTTATGCCCCTAGTTCACCCTTATTAGGACCTAAGCTGTGACTAATGCTCATTACGTGTGAGGCATGCAGTTCCCCATGCATATTTCGAAAGAATGTGAATTTGGGATTTCTTATTATTCTTCTCTAGAACATCAATTCTGTGATCTCTAGTATTCAGTAATGGCTACCTGATGATTATCTCTGACTCTGTCACCTAAATGTGAGTTTGTTATCCTCAGGAATATGTAAAAGCAGTGCCTAGTATAGAGGTTAATACAGATAATGCCTCAAGAGATACTAAATGAAAGGATGGAATGCTAACAATTTCTGAAAGTAGAATCCTTTACTTAGATGGGAATTGGTATTTTTCCATTTTGAAAAGAATGGTCTTAAGGTATTGAGGTGGATATTGAAACTTAAAAATCAGGGTTCTAAGTAAACTATGCTGGATGAATGAAAAAAAAAAATAAAGTTCTCATCAAAATCTATCGCAAGGCTCTATCAAAATTTGAGGACACCGTGGAAGGTACCTGCTCCTGCCTTTCAGTGAAAGAATCCCTTCTCCATCCATGTATTGGTTCAAATGAGATAGATATTACATGCTGGACCCTGTGCTTGGGGGTAGATTTTCAAAGGTGAACAGGACAGATACAGCCCCTGCCATCACTGAGCTTCCAGCCTAATGGGAAAGATCCACAGTGCAGCGGTGTGGCAGATCATGACACCAAGGTGTGATCTCTGTGACTGGGTAAAGGCGGGATGTTTCAAAAATACACCAGCAGTCTGGGACATCAGAGAGGGCTTTCAGAAAAAAAGTTCCTAATGTTCATCTGAATAATTTCTGCACATCCTACAGGTATTAGCCTAAATGTAACTTCTTTTCATCATTATCCACAGAAACCATGGAGGCTAACTACCCATGTATACTAACTACGCATCGATACTAACCTTACCTTCCGCAGTAGAGCAAATGCCATTTTTTGATTTTTTCAAATATTTGAACACAGTTACCAACTGTTCCTTCAGTCTCTTCAGTATGGCCCTCTTTAGCCCAGTGAGCGACACAGAGGAGCCATTACATAAATATTTCTTGAATGAGTGAATGAATGAACGAATGCAAATCCAGCAGGAACTATACAGTAAAATACAGATTCAGCATAATGTTTTTATATCTATTGTTTTGCATTCCTTTCACATTCTTTATCTTCTTCATGGGCTCTAGTTCCAATCGATTTAACAGTGTCTGTGGTGTGCATGCACACGTGTGTGTGCATATGTGTGTGTGTGTGTGTGTATGTGTATGTACTTGGAGAGTTAGAGAAATCTCCGACACGTGTCTCAAGGTTTGACTCATTGTATGAGTCATAAAAGAGAGTTTTTGCTTATCATTTTCATCATTAATTTATATATTTAATAAACATATAGGAAGTACCAAATCCATTCCAATCCATTATACCAGGCCCTAGGGATAAAAAAATGAATAAAACTTTGTTCCTGGCTCACTGTCTAATGGGAGAATAGATGTACCCAGATAATTTAAATATGTCCAAAATTAGAAAATAGTCTAATCTAGTATTAGCTAAGTGGCAAGCGTCGGTTACATCATCTCTGAGCACAGAGAAGCCATCCTGCTCTCCGCATGCCAGCACAGTTACATGAGGGACGGAGGCCACATGGAGGGAGTGAAACTTGGAAATGAACGTGACGCATTCTCACCTGCCATCGACTCTGGCGTTTGTTCTTCCCAGGGGAAGGTATATTTCTGAAAAGCAATAATCGATCCACGTTGCGATGACTCCTTTTTCCTCTCCTCACTACATCGAGCCTGTGTTGAGTTCCTGCCATGAGGTAGGATGAGTTCCCACCCGAGGTTGGAGGTGGGATCAAGACACGCTCTGTCCAGACTGGCGTCCGAAATCCTTCCAGTGGCAAACCTGCTCAAGTCGCAAACGTGCTTAGAATGACTTCCTACCGGCCTTAGGATGAAGCCCAAGATCCATGGCAGCTACAGAGCTCCGTAGGACCTGGCCATTCCGGCTCTCCAGTCTCTAGTGTAATCTCCATCCTCCGGCCACCCTTGTGTTCTTAAATTCCTTGATCATGCTGTGTGCCCCTCTCTCGCCTTCCACCTGCTGTTCCCTCTGGGCACACTCTATCAGCATGCCCCTTCCCCCCACCCCTCTCCCCGCTTTCCCTCACTAAGTACACTCTCTTCACGCCTTAACTCAAATACCCTCGGTTCCTCAGACTTGAAGAGGGTCTGCCACAAAATGTGGCTCCGTGGCCTCATTGCCCTGTGCTGCTGCAGCCAGCTCACCCTCCCGGAATTTGTCTTTGCGCCTAACCATCAGCAGTGACGCCTGGATGGAATCAAGTTCATTTTTTACTGCATGTCCCCGGGGCCTCCCTCAGGGACAGGGACTTCGTGAGCACAGGAGTATAAACACACATATGCATACATACATGCATATGTATATTAATATATATTATATCAGTCTTTGCAGTATTAAATTAAATCACGTGATTATGATAAGTACAGCCAGCGTAAATGGGGTTAGGGACGAACTCAGCTTGACTCTTGGCAAGTTTATAACGTAGCTAACGGAGTGGAAGTGCTGGGGCGCTTAAACCACTTTTAAGTGACTGTGATTCAGTCAGATCTGCTGCTGGAAAGATTACCGACCCCCATCTTGACAGAGCGTGTCTTGATCCCACCCCCAGCCTTGGGTGGGAACTTATCCTACCTCATGGCAGGAACTCAACACAGGCTCGATGTAGTGAGGAGAGGAAAAAGGAGTCATCGCAACGTGGATCGATTATTGCTTTTCGGAACCATACCTTCGCCTGGGAAAACAAATGGCAGGTGAGAATGCCATTGGCTCCAGGTTCATTTCCAAGTTTCACCCACTCCATGCTGTGGTCAGACGGTAGGACAGGCTCTCTCTTCTCAGAGAGGATATAACCTAACTTTGCCACTTAGCTAATACGTAACTAAGATGCTTATGGTGCCCGGGATTGGAGAATTTGAATCATTGAAGGAAAACTTGGTGCAAGCCAGGATTGCATAGGTGGGTTGGTTGATGGGGTAAACAGCTACCAGAACGTTCAGGGCACTGAGGCCATCAGTTAGAATGTCTTGTTCAGTCAGGGGAGAGTGTTGGTGAATCTGGCTGAGTCAGGAGTGCCATTCAGGTGGAAGACAGTTAAGAGAGCCTCCTCTCATTGTCAAGCAAATGTCCTTTAGGCACTAAAAACCTAGAGAGACAAAAGCACAGATTAACACATGGTGACAAGTGTCCTGGAAGAGGGATGGACAAGTGCCCTGTGACTGGAGTGGAATTTAGAGGAGGACCAGGGAGGGGAAACTTTTGCTGTGGTGCCCATGACCGTGGAAAATAGCAAATGAGATCTAAATTTATTTCATTGGTGATATTGTGCCTGATTTCAAGACATAAATATATATATTTCGTATAAAATCAGAGTTTTTCTTGCTTTGTAAAGTTTATTAACTAGTCTAATTAATTAGAATAAATGAGGTTTCGCCTGAATTTGTAAGGCAATATGACTATCAGAAAGTTATTACTAGCAAATGGAGGCACAGCAGAAAATATTTCCTGTAAGCCATCCTGGAATCTTTTCCAAATGTATTCTCACCAAGATTTTCACTAGCGGTCTCCCATAGGTACCAGACATGTGTCCTTGAGGAAGACATCACCCAGTGTACACTCAATTAAAATAGATAGTGGCAGCCAGACCCAAATTGCTTCTCGATAAAAATTACTTTGAGGGGCCCCTGGGTGGCTCAGTGGGTGGGTGGCTCAGTGGGTTGAGCATCTGACTCTTGACTTCAGCTCAGGCCATGATCTCACAGTTCCTGAGACTGAGCCCCTCATGGGGCTCGGCACTGACAGCGCACAGCCTGCCTGGGATTCTCTCTCACCCTCTCTCTCCGCCCCTCCCCGGCTTGTGCACACACGCTCTGTCTCTCAAAATAAATAAATAAACTTTGAAAAATCAGAAAAAATTTTTTCGAGGTAGGGCTTAAAGATATATGAATGAAGATGCATTAGGACAATGTTGTAAGAACACAATACTGTGAGAATTGTAATATTGTAAAGTTATCGTAAGAGAACAAAAGAGCGAGCTTCTGCTTTTGAGGTCTATGCCTCCTTTTCCTGGATGCAGGAATCAAAGTGGGTGTGAGATTCCAATAACTAGTTTTTTGGGGTTTGTTTTTAGTAAAGGACTTGTATCTACATTTCAGGTAGTTATCATAACCTACCTTCACATATTTCTCTATCTATAGAGAAATTGATAGACTACTTTAAAAAGGAGAAAAATGATACAGAGTAAGTATTAGAGATACTTTGCTGCTGAATATAACTGTGGAGCTAAAGCAGAGGAATAAAAAATTGACATTAAATAGACCCAGGACATTTCAGAAAATGTAATCCCTAAAAATGAATTTTTGAGCAACTGGGAAATGATGAGAAAAACCATAATCTAAACTATGTCCCGTATTTGGAATAATTCCCTCAGGAAAATTCATATTCAAATTCTGGGTCTCAGGATCCATTTTCTAAATGTTATAGACTTTCATTCATCTGTGGTCTCAATTTCTAATTGATCATAGGCAATAAGAATGCAGAAATGGAAACCTGACATTTAAAAATCCTGAGATTTTAGTGTATAATTCTTGTTAATAGGATTTGAGTTCATGCCTAATTGCATTTATGATCAATGTTCAAGTAGAGGTTGTTTTTCCATAAAAAAATTTTTTATGCCTAATTAAGCTTTATAGGAGGAAAAATACCAGGAATTTAAGCTTTGTTACCATTTGTTTTTAAGGTAGCTTAGGTCTGATCTAATTAAAAATCAAATGTTTCATTTTGAAAGCTTAAAGATAAATGTGCTGTTTAATTTATCCTGTTTTCTTCTTTTATGGCAGATTAAATACAAAGAAAAATTTGATAGTGAAATGAAGGATAAGAAACATCGTTACAATCCTCTTGAAAACGCTTCTTTTAGGCAAAGTCAGCTTGTCACTGCACTGGTGAGCGATGTAAGTTATGACGTGTGATTCATAGGCAATTATTTTCAGTATCTTTAGAATCAACTGTATTGTAATTACTAATTGCTAATACTGAATCGAGATGATGCAGTTCCCAAGTATTTTAGTTGCAAACACTGAAGCATACTTTCCTGAGAGCTTTCTCAAGGAAAATGTATTATTGTAAGTTACCACTAATGGTTCCTGATTACTGATTAGTTAATAAGTTAGGAATAGTATTGCTAATAAAACTATTCTATCTGTTCAAGAGTAGAACCAGATTACAGAGTTTTGCGAAATAAACGGTATGTAGTATGTTTGTTAAATTAGTGGTTATGACAACAGTTAACTCATGTAATTGTGCCCAGGAAATTGGGCTCCTGTAACGTACAACCTGGCATATGGTAGTTTATAAGAAAGAAATTTTCAGAAATTGCACTGATAACGTCTTAAACAGTGTCTTTCCTATGCCTTATGTAAATGCTGTGAAATACCTCTTCACAGGCTTGGTTTCATTTTGTGTTTTTAAAAATAATCAAGTTTCAGTTGACATGAAAAGATGCCTTAAATTTTTATTAGAATCAAGCAGAGCGTAAACACGGAAACATGGGAAAGAATGGACCACTTTGCTGTGGTTGAAGGATGCATAATACCTTTGCAAGTATTGAGATGAGGAATTGTTGAACTGTTGCTTTGTCAGATCACTGAAACTTTTCAACTCTTGCCCTGTCCTTGGGACTCAGCATAGCTTATTTCCCTTGATGTTTAGTAGGTATTGTTATTTGTGCCTCTTCACTCACCTGTGTTTCGTACCAACACTTGAAATGGGTCTGTTAGGATCACTGGAATATCAGAATGGATTCTTTGTCTTACTTGTTTTTTATCTCATGTGCGTGTAAAAATGGAAAGCAGATAGGGTTGGAATACACATAAAGGAACCTAGAGCATAGTGCTTGAAAGCACAGGGTTTAGAATTGGATTGCTTGAATTTGAATCCTGTTCTGCCTCTTAATTCTATACCTTCATCTTTCTGTGCCTTAGTTTACTCCTCTGTAAAATGGAGATACTTAAAGTATCTACCCACAAGGGTTGTTGTGGAAATTAAATACTATGTATAAAATGTTTGGCACAAAGTTAATGCTCAAATATTTTCTGTTATTAATATTTTAGTATTACTATTACTAATATTGTATATTTAGAATAGTTGGAAATAAAAGAAGAATGTCTGTATTGCAATAGGATGAAAAAACACCAAAAACCCTTAAATTGCTCCAGAGCATAATTAAAATATGGTAATTTCTAAAGAATAAAGTTACTGTTCCTTTTGGAAACAGAATGTCTATTAAAATTACCTGATTCTGTGACTGTCACCCTTTCTAAATATGTAAACAATAAAAGCAATTACCGAAATGTTTTCAAGACCCTAGCAGTAACTTTTTTAACTCATTCTGTAGTAAATGAGCACCATCTTGTGGCTGCCTGTAAACTCGCCTGTTAATTTACCACTACGTGGTGTTTTTCGATGTATTGAAAATAATAATGGCGATAATGCAAAAGCATAATATTTTCTTCTCCTGGACGGTATGTTGTTCCCTGTTATTTTCATAGGTGAAGTACAAGAAAGACATTCAAAATATGCATGATCCAGTCTCGGATCTCCCAAACTTGTTCTTAGACCATGCTTTGAAAGCCAGCAAAATGCTCAGCCGAGTAAGTGGGTTTGTTTGATGGCAGCCGGGGATGCCCTGTGGCCCCAGAGAGCCAGGATGGCTTTGAGCCTGTTCATGAGCGTACCTGCTTCATCAGGCGTGCGTGGGCTCCACCTCTCCCTGAATTACTAACTCCTTCAAAAGTAGTGGTCTGCTTGCTCGAAGCCCACGAAAGCTGTCGCTTTACACAGGGGGTTCTCACTAGCTCTTTAATATCGCCTGAATGCAACCTTTCCTGTTGAACAACTACACTTCAAAGTGCTTGCACGAGACTTCTTTCTGTCGTTCTTCCTCTTTCTTCTTCTGCATTAGACTGAAGCCACTTGAAGGTCAGGCTTAAAGCAGGGATCTTGTATTTTTTGGGGGCCAGAGCAGCGTGTCTGGTATTCAAATGGGCCTCGGTAACATACAAGATCGTCTTAGGCTAATTTGTGTTTTCTCTGGAAATAAATCCAACATTACGTTGGCACTCTACTTTTGGTCTTGTGGAAGCTTCCACGGTTTCTTCAAAGCAGTTAGGGGGCGAGAGCGGTTTTTTTCATGCCCTAGTGAAAATATTTGTGCACGCTGCCAAGTAGTGATTCTGGCAGAACTCACCTCCTGGTTGCTGTTTCAAACACTTAAAGCGTGTGGACCCCGACTTCACTGGTTCTCATAGCTGAGGACCCCAGCTCACCTGTGCCCCATTGCCTACATCTCAGAATAGCCCCTGGTGATGATGAACTGTAATTTGACCTCAAGTTATTTCTATGCCAGCTCTAATAATTACGTGCTCATCCAGGCACTCAAAATTATCCAGATGTGTTGGATGTCTGCTTTGGGCCAGGTAAGATTAGGTGGAAAATATGTTGGGCAAGGAATGTGAAAATAGCTGTCTTCAGGAGATATGCTCACAGTTCAGGACTGAAAAAAAAAAAAAAAAACCCCAAAAAACAACAACAACAAAACTGGTAGTCCAGACCTGGTTCCCGAACTATTAAAGAATGAGATAAAGGGGCGCCTGGGTGGCTCAGCCAGTTGAGCGTCTGACTCTTGGTTTCAGCTCAGCTCACGATCTCACGGTTCATGATGTTGAGCCCCACATCAGGCTCTGCACTAACAGTGCAGAGCCTGCTCGGGATTCTCTCTCCCCACCTCTCTCTCCTCCTCCCTGGCTTTCTCTCTCTCCCTCCCTCTCTCCAAAAATAAATAAATAAACACAAAAACATTTTTAAAGAATGAGATCTGGCTTCAGATCAGGTTTAGAAATGTCTGCGCTTGGCCTCGAAGTATTGAAAGTTCTGTTCACTATTTTGTAGTTGTCTTTTCTCCACCACTATCCCTGACCTCCTTCTTGAAATATATTATGCATGTAAAGAATTCTTACTTGCAGAGATTTTTAAATTAATTAATTGACTTTATCACTGGTCCTCAGGAGAAAAGCAGTCTGTCCTTCTTGCTGTCTATTGGGCAGAGAACCATAGAGGACTGTCAGGTGTAGAATGAGACTCAGGTCAAGGACATTTTGTTCATGCTTCCTGTCGTTTCAGTGCTCATTCGTCCCCCTGTGCACACATTCCTGTGCTCCTTTAGTGGCTTTTTGAGAGTCACATTTTCCTCCATGCCTCACGGGGATGTTTCTAAAAGTTGATACGTTGCTATTCTCTGAGCTGGCTGCTTTCTTCACGTTCAGTCTTTGCCATCCTGTTTTGATCATTGCAGTGCCATTTGCCCTTGACTGTTTGGGTTAAATTTCCCGAGGATGTGAGGATTCCTGTGTAGATAAGACAATAAAAATATCATGGTAGTAATTTAAAAATTCGGTAGCTGGAAGAATACATACCACTCCTAGGCAATATTTCTTTTCAAGAATATTGACCTTTATTTTATAAGAATGGCAAAATTAAGAAATCATAGCTTACTGTAAATTGTTTCTATCACCTCCTCAGCAGAGAAACCCAGCAAAGTCACATATTACATTTATTGTATATACCATTTTTAAAGTCTAAATCTTCATTCAGGTGGTGCCTTTGCCTAGATTATGGACTTTTTTTTCTCCCATAGAAAAATTGCGGCTGAATAATTACTTTGTGGGAGAAAAAGAGTTTAAGACTCAAATGCGTTACTCTGAGGTGTCTGTTTATTAAAGTTGTATGATAATGCATTGGCTAAAATTTATCGTACATTAGGATTGCCTCTTTTAAATTTTAATGTGAAGACAATGGGAATTTTGCTGATTTATAAAGGCAACTTAATTTTATCAAAAGATTGAATAAGAAAGTGCTTAATAAACAGACATTCTGCCAAAATTAGTTGTCAGCTTGTTATAAATCACTGTTTTTTAAAGACCTCTAAATGTCTTTGGTATAGATCACGAATTTTGTAAAACACATAGTGTGTAGAGTAAAATTTGTCCTTATGAGTTTGAACGGCCATTCTAATTAAAGCTTCGAAGGAACATTTCCTCCCGGAAAATAGGGCTCGGGCTCTCCTATAACTGCGTAAGTGAAAAATCTATAGCACGTGTTACCCTGTCGTTCCCACTAGGAGGCAACAGAGACTATTGTATAAGGCACAGCAAGTCTTGAAAATGGTTTTGCAGACCTTAGTTCGAATAGGTTTTGTTTGGTTTTTTGTTTGTTTGTTTGTTTGTTTTTTAAGTCGGAGTTTCTGAAATTCCCTGTCCCTAAAACAGATCACCGGGGACAGGATTTATTAACGTTTCCTCAGTCTCTATCCACTATTGCAGACAGTGTCCTTCGGCTTTACTAGTTCTGGATTTTAAACCTGGTATGAAGTACGTTCTAGAGTGTGACATTTAGTTGATGATGATTTTTTTTTTTTAACGTTTATTTATTTTTGAGACAGAGAGAGACAGAGCATGAATGGGGGAGGGTCAGAGAGAGGGAGACACAGAATCCGAAACAGGCTCCAGGCTCTGAGCTGTCAGCACAGAGCCCGACGCGGGGCTCGAACTCACGGTCCGCGAGATCATGACCCGAGCCGAAGTCGGCCGCCCAACCGACTGAGCCACCCAGGCGCCCCAGTTGATGATGATTTTAATTACGTGTTATAAAATAACTTTTAAGTAAATTATAAAGGCTCTGAGCATGCTGTTATCCTTTGAAATTGTTTATTTGCTTTTTTTCAATTAGCAAAGGAGCCAAAATTTAGAGCTTATGCTCTTCAGTGGAGACGTAGGATGGGAACATTTTCTTGAGCTTCCTGGGGGCAGTTTACTCCCTCACTTTATTCTGGTTAGAGTGTTGGGGGAACCCATGACGTAGTGCTCTAATCGCCTGGGAGCACTTCGGGGACCCATCGCTGCGTCCCCGTGGAACATCCCTTCCCGTGCATCCTTCCATCCTTCCCATCCCTGGCTCTGGGCCTCTTCCTGTTTCACTCTCAGATCCCTGGAGCATCTGCTAAGACCTGAAAGTCACTTCTGTTCTGGCCAGCTCTTTCCCGCTCTCTTTTGAACGCAAGCTTACCTCTCCCTACATCCTGCACAAAATCGCCATTTCCCCTGAAATCCTCACCGCTTAAGGGGCAGCCAGCTTTACCTTAAGTCTCTGTAGCCTTGAGTCTTTGAGAGTTACTGTTTATCTCTAGAAGGCTTTTCCAAATAGGGTGAAATAACTGTCTGATCTTTAATGAGAGAAGTCACGAAGCAATTTCTGTCTTAGCGCACGCTGTTGTATTTGGAGTCCCACGGTTGCCAAATTTGGCGTCTCTTCCAAATTCACCTTTTTGTCTGTGTCTTAATCCAGTTTCTTCACCTTAAAAATTCAACCGGCTCTACCCAGACTCCTCTGTTTTTCTCGCAGGCACCACCTACCCTCTCCTTTTAGGAAAATTATTTGAATTAGTTCTCACTCTCTCATTTTCCTTATGATCCTTGCCAGTCATTGTCATGGCCGAGCCCTCCTGTACAACTTTTTTCTTTTCCTGCCCCCCCACTTTCCTTTCCTCTGTTGGTTCTTCTTTCCTTCTCTTCTCGTAGATGCCATCAAACACATTGCTGTCTGAGGATACGGGCTGGACAGATCGCCTTTATTTTGCCCACCTTGCTTGGTCACACGAGTCCTGTCACTGGCTTTAACACTGCCACTCCCCAGTGTCTTTCACATTGTGCTGACAGCTGGTTGTCCCCTGCTTCTCTTGGGTGTCTTGCCTTGACCACCTAGAGCTGGTCTGCCCGGCCTTGTGGTTTCCCTTAGTGTGGGAAGTCCACGAGAGCAGCCAGCACGATGGGTTTGCCGCTCTTGTTGCCTTGTATTTTTTAGTTCGCATTCCTAAGGATTAGTTGCTTTAATCGGTCTCTTTTATCCTGATTTTATTTTCACGTTCTCTGTTTTAGCGGGAGTATAGAAAGCTTTTTGAGGAAAACAAAGGAATGTACCATTTTGATGCGGACGCCGCTGAACACTTGCACCATAAAGGCAACGCCAAGCTCCAGAGTCAGGTGCGCAACCCCTCCCCCCACCGCCTTCTGGACCCTTTAACTACCCACCGCCACAGGCCTCCCCTGAGCCGGGGCAACAGCCAAAAAGGACCTGCATCCTGAGGAAGTGAACGTTGCTTTGGAAGATCTCAAACACTATTCAGTCTCACTGGGTTGGGAAAGCTGGAACCATGTTTTGGGGGCAAAGCATTTCGTAAAGAAAGTTCCTTCACACAATTTTAAACTTCTGTATCAGTTACTTAAATGATCGAATCTCCTGACGATTTCAGTTTTTATAGTGTACCGATTTGTCGTTTTCAGCTGCAGAATTCATTTTCCGGGCGCAAAGTTTAGTATAATTTCTCAGCTCAATTACCTGTGTGATTAAAAATGATCTTACGTTAATGTTTCTTTCAGCGATAAGATTCTGTGTATTCCCTGAAAGAAATTTTAAAATTTCTTTTTCCATGCACACTTTAAAGTTGGTATCCGCATGTTTCTTTTATTCTGAGTAGTTACAAAAGATGTCATTCTAGCATCTGTTAAGATATAATTTTACATCAGTCTATTAAACGTACTCTGTGGAACATACATTCCTTAATGATTTGATACCCACCTTCATTTATTTAAAAAATGTACAAACAAAAAATTCAAAAAAATAAAAATATACAGCTCAGCTCTCCTTTAAGCTTTGGAAACATACTTTTTTTTTTTCTCTTTGTATTCTTATTTTCATTTAATTTTTCCCACAAAGTTTTATCCTACCATAGTATGTTACTACACTTCAAACACTCTCATTGATCACTCTAGCTAGTTCTCCGAAACAAAAGTCGTCCTACAAATAAGAATTCAAAAAAATCTGTTACATTTCCCGCTACCACAAAGTTCTAAGTATTGAAAAGCTGCCTTTGTTTTGAAATGCCATTAAAACTGCTGTTATGATATAACTTAAGGAGCAATTTCATAAAAAAAAAATTATTTACACCTAAGGATTTTAATGAAAATACATTTCTGAAGGAAATGAATCATGATCAAAACTTTTCTGGGAATTTAATTTAAAAAGGGACACTGCTAAGAAAAAGCCAATCACTCTGACAGCTACGTATAATTCTGGTTTCTGTTATTAGGAGATGGAACTTATCGATCATTTTATAAACTAAAATAAGATGGAGATTGGTTGTAATTGAAATAAATAATTCATGGCATGATATTATTAAATAATGCAGGGTGAAACTGAAAGCAATCTCATAAAAGCTCTGTGTGTGTGTTTTACTCAACGTCTATGGAAAAATTCAGTGCCCCCAGAGAACACTGCCTTCCCTTTGACAGAAAGACAGAATCGCACTATGTTTTCCTCCTTGTTCATGATTTACTCATAGACTTTTGAAGCCATCGCGGGGATCTCTGCATCTCTGTCTCTATGTGTATAAAATGATCATATCCATATTAACCCCTTATATATGAGATATATCTGTATATCGCAGTGATTTAAATACTTCATCCGAGTCCCAGAACTACGTTATTTAGTAGTTCTAAGTTATTTTTACTTCTTAAATATTTTTATATATTACCTGTTTACTTTTTTTGTACGTCATTAACCACAGGGGACCCACTGACCAACCCAAAGTGGCCAGAATAATGTGATTTTAGAAACTAGGATGATTAATTTTGGACATATTGATTTTACTTGGCTCTGTTTGTGGAAGGGCCAATGAACTTTATGTGCTCTTTATACTTTTTTTTCAATGAAGGTTAAGTATAAAGAAGAGTATGAGAAAAATAAGGGGAAATCGATGCTTGAATTTGTTGAGACGCCATTGTATCAAGCTTCAAAGGAGGCTCAAAAGATGCATAGTGAGGTGAGTCCCTTTGATTTGCTATCAGCTATTTTTTTCGTTTCTTTATTTTTAAGTATTCTCTACGCCCAACGTGGGCCTTGAACTCATGACCCTGAGATCGATAGTCACATGCTCTCCCAACTGATCACATCCTGTGATTACAAAGTTGACATTTTCAGTTTGTGTCCAGGTAAAAAGTCTGATGAGGAGGAAAAAAAAAAAAAAAAAAAAAAAAGGAAAAGAAAACGAAGGGCTGGTTGCTTTATTTGCCTTTTATTTTTCAGTGACAGTAGAACATTTATTAGATACTTACTCTATGCTAAGCAATATGATCAAACCTTTATATATGTCAACTAATCCCCTAGATTGATGATTATCCACTGAAATTAATTGTCTTATCTGAAATTACGTATCCAGGAAATGCCAATGTTTTAGGGCCTGGGAAAGTCATGAAAGATTCTCGTGTCTCTGTTAGCTTATTTAGTTGATTCCTCCCTCCCCCAAATAAACAGTGACATGGAAGTTTTAAAATATCAAGAGAAGAGAGAAGCTAAGAGTTTTTTGTACGTATGTACTTTGTTCTCTACTTAAAATGATGCTGAGTCATGTCCAGATATTTCCCAAATGATTTTGCTCTTTCCCAGTGAGACTTCTTTTGTTCATTTTTTGTCCCTACATTTTTGGGGACCAGACACCAGGCACAGAAGGTTTTCTCTGCAGCCAACATCCAGATTCTATGGGTACACCAAGTTATTACTTCAGAGGGACAGAAATAGTGGACAGTACTATCAGCTGACTACAGCCCAGTGTTCTGGGGTGTTCCAGCTATGTGTGCTCCGTGGGCACCATCTTTTCTGTTCTCCAGTAACAACACCGAAACAGGGAGAAAAGATAACTTCTGGACAATAGAACTCTCACAAGAATTTTGAAAACAATTTTTGTGCTGTTGGTTGAAATGTCATAATTCTTCTCAAGGAAAGGGCACTCAGACATTACTGTGGCTTGTTGAATTGTCCAAGTTGTCTGATTTCTTCTTCAAGCAAGAAAGGAGAAGATAATCGCGTGTATTTTTCGTATCTTGTAACTTCTTAAGCCAATAGAGAGGAGTCTGATCAAGAATAGTCAGGCGAATCTTTCGACTAAATTAGCTGTTGGTTTTAACTGACCTGGTGGAGCAGGTAAATTTGGTCATAGTTGAGAAGCCCTACCACAACTTAGGTTTAGGGGGATAGCTCTTACCGGCCTATCTTTGTCTTTGTCAGTTTGGGGTGCTGTTAACCAAGTACCACAGACTGAGGGGCTTAAACAACAGAAATGTATTTCTTACGCTTCTGGAGGCTGGAGGTCTGAGATCAAGGTGCCGGGAGGTCGTGTTTCTAGCGAGATCCTTTTGTGCGGGGCAGATTGCTGCCTTGTTTCTGTGTCCTCGTGTAGCCGAGAGTAGACAGGGGAAGCAAGCTCTCTCGTGACTTGTAGGAGGGCGCTAACCCCATCACGAAGGCCTCCTCCTCCTCACCTCATCGATCCTGATGACTTTCCAAAGGAAAGTCTGTCCAAAGGACGGATCCTAATGCATCCATCACATCGGGGGTGGGTTTCAACATATGCATTTTGGAGTGACGCGAACATTCAGTCCTACCACCTTCTCTGCATTTCAAGAATAGTATGTCAAGTGCTGTGATGATGCCAAGTGGGGAGCTGGAAGGCAACCTCTGGGTTGAGCCTCCGGGGCCTGTAGAGTTTATAGTCCTCGCCCGGCTCGGCTCCTTCTCCCCCATCTCTCACTCATAGTCCTGCCTCCTCCTTTAAGGAAAAGACCAGCACCTTCAAACTGGGTTTTCTGTGTTCTTCCCATCAACCCCGGGCTGCTATTATTTAGCTGTTTGTGCTACGTTGCCTTGCTTTATTCACCAAGGGACATGTTCCTGTTTTCCTTCTCTTTGATCCTCTCTGTACTTTTTCTTCTGAAGACCCCATTTTCCCGGCCCTTCTTCCTGCCCGTGGCTGTGGTGTTTGAACTCTGTGTCTCAGGGAAGCATATTGGGAAGACACATCCCTCGCTGCTGCCTCAGGATGTGCTTCCGTGGGTCTTGCTGTGGAGCCTGGGAATTGGATTTTAACAATATCCCGGGAGCTTCTGATGTTGGTGGTCCAGCGACCACGCTTTGAGAAACACGGACTCATGGAAGAAAACAAATAGTCCCCTCACTTAAAGTCATAAAAACCAGATGGATTAAAAAAACAAACAACCATCCCCCCAAACATAAAGAGAATCTTCTTCTTAGAGAGTCAATGGGCAAAGTAGGCCAACTTGTTTTTCTTTGCATGAAATGCTCAGTTGATTTTTTTTCTGTTGGGGATGGACCCTCAAAAGGGAAAGATTCCCTAAGAACAGATTTCGCTATGCCGATGACAGGAATTTTAAAGGCACCTTCTGCACTGGAAAAGTGCTATTGTTTCTAGAAGTCTGCTACCTTTGCCTTTACCATTGCTGTGGCTACCTAGTACAAAAGGAAAATAAAATGTTGCCAACTGAAAATAAAAATCTGTCAAATGAACTAATCGATTCCTTTTGGTTGGCTGTTTTGACATCAGGTGCAAACAGCTTTAAGGTTTAACTGTAGTAATACATTTATTATATGCTGTGGAGTTTGCTTACATTGGGGGCTGAGTGGGCCTTTTGTTAATATTGGCTTTCAATTTTCACTATTCTGATTTCTGATATTGTCGCTAGGGGGGAATTATCTTTTGCAGAGGCTGAGACATGTTTTCCTTTTAATTATAGCCATTGGCTATTGGATTTTTAGGCTCAGCAATTATGTTTCTGCTCAGCAGGGTTTGAGGAGACAGAGAGAGAGAGAAATCTCCCAATAGAAAATATCTTGAGACCAAATTTATACTCTAAAGGCTAGAAACATAAAATATCTGAAAATTTTAGATCAGTCGATGTGAAAGATATCCAACAAAGTGGACACAGAGAGAAGCATCTGGCTTAGGGATGGTTTTTATCCTTAAGAGGTAAGCTTGTCAACGAGCTTCCTGAACCTCCTATGGGTAAAGCCAAGTGTTTATGATCTCAGGAATAGTCACTAATGTTTCTGTGACAGCCTATAATTAGGCTTCTCTCACTTTCTTCTATTCTAGGTATAGGTTTAATCAGTCGGCTTTCTAGAAGAAACCTCTAAATCTGGCTTTGGAAAGTTCTTTGTCTTCTGTTTCATAAATATAGCTGTCTTGACAAAAAGCATACTAAAGGTTTTTTTTTTCCCCCCTAGTCATGTGTTGGCCAGTTCTGGTCATAATCAACCATCCTCAATGACTTATTTCAGTAAAATATTTTTTTCATAGAAGAAAGGATTTTTGAAGTCAATTATCTGAAGTAAATAAACATACCCATATTTATATTTTTACTTTTTTTTAAAGAGACATTTTTAGTCCGGAAATGCCCTGGATTCAGCTTTATAAGCATATAATTTTGGTTAGTTCCACATAAAGAAGGGGACAATTTCTCATTGTTCTTTAATAATATCTATAGTTCCTTTAATTCAGAATGTTCTCAATGCAACTTCTTAATCACTTTGTTAGATTTAGTATTTCCAGGACATCTATTGTGGCCTTTTCTGTGTGTGTGTGTGTGTGTGTGTGTGTGTGTGTGTGTGGTTCTACATAGGTCATTTGTTGAACCTGCTGTTCGTGACACAAATACAGGTGAGGCAACGACATGCTTCTCTTACCCTTCCTCGTGGCTTGGGAGAACTCCTTAATACAATTACCTATCTCTGCAATAAGTGTATTATGAACCTGGAAATGGCTTTTCATTTTGCATTAGTAACAATCTCATGCAGAAATTTACCCTTATCATCTTTGTGCTGCAATTTGAATAAAATACTTAGCTGGTAAAATACGGGTTTTTGTTTGTCCGGTAAGTATGGACATGGATGGACATGGATGGACAGTTTTGTTATTGGGAGAGATTGGTTTTATAGTCCTAACGCATGAGTTGCTGTTGGTTTTCAAACGCATCGTTCAAACGTTGGAATGGAGGGACTCTTAGCCAAAGGATGGCAGAGAATGTCGAAGGGGCAAGTGGGGGGTATGGATGCCTGCCCTCCACAGCACTGTGCGCATTCCCCTTTTCATTCCTTGTTGTGAACCTAGAGAACAATTTGTCAGGTTGGAGAGAAGACTCCTCACAGTGTAATTTAATTCATATCAAATCCCATAGAGGGTAGAGAAATAGTCTCAATGCCAAAATCATTAAAGGAAAATGTACACCAGCCTCCATTACATTTTAGAGATGGTCTTTGCTGAATTCACAAAAGGATAACACTGAAAGGGGTGAGAACCTCAACATTAATGCTATTGTGCTTTAAATGGCCTTCCTTGAAACCAGATTTTTTCCTCCGTGGATGATCCACTCCCTTTAGCACGAACCAGTCACGTGATTCGCAAGTAGCCAACTTTACTGGTTTTCCTCTCCAATCCAGCTGACGTCAAACAATGACACGCTAGTAAGACGTTAAGTAGCCTCACTCAGAGCGCTCTCCCAGAGGCAGTTGGTACTTAACGGTTCTCCTTTTGTTTGGTAGAATTCTAAAATTTACGGTAAAGGTGGAATCGTGTTCTTGTGGCTCTGATGACTCTGAGGGGGTAGAATTATATAAGGAAAACATCAATTTTGTTCTGGGAACTCTGGTACTAATATCTTCTCAACAGTCACTAGTATTTTCTTAAATTTAAAATTACCTGGTTTTATTTAACAGAAAGTTTACAGAGAGGATTTTGAGAAGGAGATTAAAGGAAGGTCATCACTCGATTTAGACAAGACTCCAGAATTTTTACATGTTAAGTACATCACCAACCTTCTGAAAGAGGTATGATCTTGCGATTTACTATTAAATATTGTGATAGAAAGCTAAAGAAAGAACCCAGGAAGTATTTACCCAACAGTTCTCTACTGTTTAAGATGTTAATCCGTTCCCCCACTCTCATTTTAACCTTTGTTAGTAGAGTTTTTCATTTTGATTAGAAACAGGAAAGTGTGTGTTAATATTTCCACTTAAAGTTGGGGGGAAAACTCACCCAGATTTCCTGGAAAAAACTTGAAAAATATTCTGATTTTGTGTTTGGTTATATCTCGGAAGATCTATAAACAGTTGGTTTTTTTCTGCAGCACCCCTGTAGCATTCTCATGACATCTGATAGCAGAAATGAGATGCTCCAAGGTGAAGGTCTGAATAAACGGCACATTATTTATGAGTGGATTGTGTTCTCAGGGGGACAAATATTTAGCATATAGACCATAGGAACTCGTGTTGATTTTTCATTTTACTCTCAGCAGGATTCTCCCCATCCCCTAACTTGGTGCATTTTGGCTCACAATTATTGGATTACCTTTGTTGAACATTAAGGTCTTCGAACCTAACAATTAAAAATATCATGCTCCTAGTCCATCCGTTTAAAAATTTATTTTTGTTTTTGTTTATTAATGCCTGAAAAGTAACTTGGAGCTCTTCCAACTCCTTGCTTAAATAGATTCTCCTTAGGGGCGCCTGGGTGGCTCAATTGGTTAAGCATCCGACTTCGGCTCAGCCAGGTCATGATCTCACCATCTTTGGGTTTGAGCCCCCATCTGGCTCTGTGCTGACAGCTCAGAGCCTGGATGCAGTCTGCTTCCGATTCTGTGTCTCCCTCTCTCTCTGCCACTCCCCCACTTGTGCTCTGTCTCTCTCTCTCTCTCTCTTTCAAAAAAATTTTTTTTAATAGATTCTTTTCACATTAAGGGGAAGTATTAGAAACCTCCATTTCACCCTGAATTTTGAACTGAAGAAACTATTCCTGAAAGAAATATCTTAAACCAGTGAAATAAATTCACGTACAATTACCTACATGAACTTCCTTAATAACTGACTGCCAGTTGGCCTTTACCATTGAACTGCTTTTAGAAATTTAATGTGCTTCACTGTTGCGATGTATGTGGGCCTGAAATAGGTGTATAATTTATGGAAGAGGGCTTGTGCTATCCTACCTTTTCTCACTGCCAGTTCTATAAAATTTTTTGAAGTTGAAGGCTAATCAAATGGCAACTTCCTACTATTATTGTCTTCCATTTAAAAAATATGCACTATTTATATGAAATTTTGAAAAGGAAATCTTTTTCGCATTTATATACAAATGACAGTGTAAGGTCTATTTTAAGGTCCATAAATGACTTTAATGTACATGCCATTGACTTTCTCTTTCATTTCTCTTTTTGAATGAATCTTCTTTTAGGTTTATTGATTCAGAACGTATGCATCAGGATAGGAAATGGCCCAGAAGATGATGATTAAAAAATCTTCTAATTCAGTTCTTTTAAAAGGACTCTCAGTAGCTTAATGAAATTGTAACTTTTCTAAGTATAAGCACTTAGCTTTAAATTGTCTTTGCAGTTTTTACTTTATTATGGTTTTTACATTTATGCTGCCATTCAGAATGTTCAAAATATTGTTTCATACTTCATTTCATTCTCCCAATTGCCCTTAGACATTGGTGGAAAAAGTATTTTTATTTTCATTTTGCCTGTGTGTGTGGAATCAAGGCTCAGTTATTTAAAGTCTTTTGGAGGTCACATGACCAAATAAGCGAAGCACTCTGACTTTCATCCAGATCATTGGACTCCAGAGCTCTTTCCAAAATTACATTCGGGTCATTACAATGTCTTGTAGGCTATTAGTTAAGCAGAGGACTAGCTAATTTAATTATGCTGGACAAGGAGAAAATAACATCAAATAAACCCTAGAATTAACTGGAACATGACTTCTTATTATTAGAGGAAGCCTCATCTTTTATCTGCCAAGTTGGTCATAAGTGCGACTTAGTTGAATTGGATCAAGATATATATTGTTTTCATAATGCATTCAGTAGGAAAAAAAAAAGAAATTCATTAGCAGAAAAAAAACCCCAAGTTATATATAAATATTAGTAAAGACATTTGGATCTACTTAAAATATAATGTTAAAATAGATGACACTCAAACTCTGTATTATCAATCTGTAGGAAATTATTTGGTTTTATGAATCTGAATAAAGTGGGTTTTTTTTTTTTAAACTTTGGCTACATCAGTCCTTTTGATTTTGTAATTTTCAATTCTTTTTCAACTGTGATCTGTTGGTGGTTCATATTTTATAGACAGCTTTCAAAGAAATACTTCAAATAATTAATAAGAAGCATCCATTCCTAAGACCTTCCTCACCACTTAAAAGGGAGACATCTTTTTAAAATATGGCACCAATATGGTACGAAAATATATTGGAAGAAAGGATGAAAGGGAAATTACTGATAATACTGGAAGCCACCCTAAACATGACTAAAAGAGAAAATGAAGTCTCTGTGGGAAATAAGGAGCGTAAATACTCACGAGTCTGATTCATTCCCTCTAGAAATATTTTCACCTTTCTGTGATCTCTAGAAAACATGAGAAACGGTTTATCAGTTAAAGAGTGTCCCAGGAAGCGTTGAACTGTAATGTTCTTGTCTCACAGAAGGAATATAAAAAAGATTTGGAAAATGAAATAAGAGGGAAAGGAATGGAACTTAACTCAGACATTCTTGACATTCAGCGAGCAAAACGCGCATCTGAAATGGCAAGTGAGGTGAGTGTATTTATTCACCAGCTGAGAATGTAGGGATTTCTCAGCTGATTTCCTTGTCTGTAAATCTTTCTCCAAGATTATAGACAGTCCACAACTTCTGTGTATGAGATGAATACGAGTAGCTATGTCCTAGTTGTCATTTCCCAGTCGATGAACTGAAAAAAAAAACGAAGTATGTTCACCATCTCCTTTCCACGTGGCATGAGAACCATGACCGTTTCCCCACTGTAGAGAAACATACATAAATCAGACTAAATAAGAAGCCCGACTACTTTTTTGAGATTTAACTTGATCTTTTAAGTAAGTGAAAGGCAGAAGGTTGGGGACGGGCGTTGTGTTCCATCAAGAATTGCAGTACAGTTCACGAGCTCTCCTGCTCCCAGCCCAGCGGAGCCCTCCAGCCCTTACCCCAGCTGCTGGGTGAGCCCACAGCAACCTCTTTGGGAAATGAAATCCGTTGCTTACTTGGCATGGAACTTGTAGGAAGGAATGGAATGTTCCTGAAGCACTCAGTGCTTTCTTTCATCCTCGTGGTATGTTACTTTGGTGTCGGGTAATGGCACTGTGCACGGAGGAGAGTCTAACTGAATTGAGCAGTGAGAAATTTAAAGTTGTGCCCCGGATGTTGGTAACCTGTGATGGTGGTGATGAGGGTGACCCCATTCGTCAGGCTGCAAATGATAGGAGCCCAACTCAAACCCGGTTAAGCAACCAAGGGAATGTTTTGGCATATGAATAGCGAAGTTCAAGGTCAAGTCTCCTTCAGGTTGGAATTCAAATGATGTCTCTCTTCCCTCATCTCTCAGTTCTGTTATCTTCTCTATTGCTTCAACCTCGGGAGGCTGCCTCCAAGTGATGGCCCCTCCTCACAGTAGGGTGACTCACCTCTGTGCCAGTAATCTCAGTGGGAAGTGAGCACCTGTTTCTTATAGTGACAGTGAAGGTCCTAGGATTGAATCTCATTGGATCCACTTGTATCCTGTGCCCACACCCATCCGTCCTAATCATTGTATCTGGAGCCAGAGGAGTGTAATGTGCGGATGATCTGGTATGGTTCTCATGGTCACTCATTTGTTTAGTTAACTTCTTTGGTAGTTTAGTCGTATCATATTTTAATATAAAAGATTCAAGATTTTTATGTGTTTTTAAAAAATGTATACTCATAGTTGGCCATATTCATGTTCTTTAAATAAACTAAAGAAAGCACTATGATGTCTTTGGCTAATACTGTCATCACACATTCTGAAATTAGTAATTCTGTACAGATTTTTCTGTTATGGTGACATGTGCAGTCCACATTCAGATGTAGAGCTTGTAATCACTTGTCCGTAATGCTCGGAAAACTCGTTTTAGACTCTCAATGGCAGAGTCCAGCCCCATACAGTTGAATGGCATGATGGCAGAAGGAACAGCAATAAATGAGCCTTAGCATATGAAAATAGGAGTAAAAGACCAAAAGAAGCTATCAGTTATTGAACACTTATTCTGCCCTGGACTCTATGCTATATGCTCTCTCACTGATCCTCACATGGATCCTGGATGCAGGAATTATTACGCCCATTTTGCAGATGAGTAAACCAGAAATGTTAAACATTCCTTGTGTCACACCGCAGTTGAGAGCTCTGGCCTCAAAGCCAGCCTTCTTTCTCTAGCATCAACTCTCTTAAACCTACCTCTCTATCCTCCAGCCCTTCAGACCGTTGTCAGTGAAAATTCTCACCATGTATGGTAACAACCTTCAGAGCGTCCTATACTCTTCTTCAGTGAGAATAGTGATACAGTTCTAAGCAGCTCAGAAAATTGAGTTCTAGGTGATCATTCATAGTACGAAGTAAGCTGTATTTTCTTCTTATATATTCAGCCATCTTTTGGTATCATTGATTATAGATAGTATGTTTATCCCCAGAGTGTATGAATATTATGAAATGTAGCCTTTTTTTTCTTTTTCTTTTTTTTTTTTTTTTTTGCAGAAAGAATACAAGAAAGACCTGGAGTCAAAAATTAAAGGGAGGGGGATGCACATTGGCACTGACACCCTTGAAATACAACATGCCAAGAAAGCTTCAGAGATAGCTAGTCAGGTTAGTGGAGTGAATGGTGCAGATGCCTTAAAACCTGTATTTTGGAATTGAACAAATCGTATTAACAACCTGATTAACACATGGAATTTCCCAAAGCTTTGTGACTAGTGTAGAAGTTTGGAATGGAAACCATTCCAAATCATCATGCTTGTTTGAAAATTTGCAGTTTCTGCTTTACTCATTTCCTTTAAATATATCAAAGAAAACTTGGGGGAAGTCATGTTAATAGAACACACACACCTTCTTACCTTATTCTTGTAATACACCAAATTTCACATTCGTCTAGGCTACAATAAATGTTTTCATACTATGTTTGTCTTATTTTGAAGGATAGGTCACGTGCTGCCTGGTATCTCTGTGTTTCCAACTCTCTGAACAGAACTTGAAAAATCACATATTGAGACTCCAACATGAAAGCGATAACCATTTCTGCATGGTTTGGTTGCACATTCTTGAAATAATCCCTGTTGACCTCATCACCGTGCCTGAAATTCTTGCAGGGCTAGCATTTTGTATGAAAGTATTTTGTATTCAAGTATTCTATATCATGAATGACCACGTTCATTCATTTAATATTTTCCTCTTCATGTAATACATGTAACGACAGGATTTTAATTTAGAAGTTTTGGCTTAGATGCTATGATATGATAGATAACAGATAACACAGTGCAGGAGTCAGACCATATGTGTATTTTTTGGAAGGAAATACCTCAGAATCAGTTCCATACCTCTTGAACTCCTCCAGCAATTTTTTTTAATTTTATTTTTTTATTTTAGGATGGAATTTTATTTTTTTTTCTTAACTATTTATTTTTTTAATATGAAATTTATTGTCAAATTGGTTTCCATACCACCCAGTGCTCATCCCAACAGGTGCCCTCCTTAATACCCA